GTTTTCATACCTTTAATAGTACAGTTGTTTCTATTCTTTAAATAAATACATATTCTTGAAACATTATTCAATTACACTTATAAATTGGCTCTATTGAAATGCAAGACTGCACTCCCTTTACCTTTAGAGGGGCTAAGATTTTTCAATTATATTTTTATAAATGTGGGGAAAACTGCACAAATATCCAGATTAATCTGCATTCAACTAAAACTTCTAGGCTGGAGTTCAAAACATCTGAATCAGCTCTGTAGTGAAGAGCCTGTTAGGTGTTTATGAATGGCAGCACCAGAGGAAAATACAAGTAAAAACTGCTATGAGGGCAGCATACCCTGTGAGTATGTAGGGTACTCACATAATGCAGGGTACAGAATCTGGGCAGGTCAATGTGCCTTAATAAAAACAAGCATAATGATCTTAAATGTATTGTGGATTTGGTAAGTGGCCTCTGGTTAAGAGGAATAATCTTTCCTTGAGAATTTTCCCAAAGCAAGTCGCAGCCAAGCGCATAGCAGGGCACTACCTGCAGTTACAATGTGGTGTTTGACCAAGGAAGATTGTACTAAATGGAAAAGAGTAGGCTCAGGGGAGACCTTATCACTCTCTACAACTCACTCAAGCTCGGGGAGGTTTAGGTTGGATATTAGGAAGATATTTTTTTATGGAGGGAGTAATCATGTATTGGAATGGGCTGCCCAGGGAGGGGAGGTTTGGATATTAGGAAGATATTTTTTTATGGAGGGAGTAATCATGTATTGGAATGGGCTGCCCAGGGAGGTGGTGGATTCACCATCCCTGGAGGTTTACAGGATGAGACTGGATGTGGCACTTAATGCCATGGTCTAGTAACCATGGTAGGGTTGGACTTGGTGATCTTGGAGGTCTTTTTCAATCCGGATAATTCTATGAAAAAAACCTGAAAAACACTCCTCTTACACCTCGGAGTAATCATGTATTGGAATGGGCTGCCCAGGGAGGTGGTGGATTCACCATCCCTGGAGGTTTACAGGATGAGACTGGATGTGGCACTTAATGCCATGGTCTAGTAACCATGGTAGGGTTGGACTTGGTGATCTTGGAGGTCTTTTTCAATCCGGATAATTCTATGAAAAAAACCTGAAAAACACTCCTCTTACACCTCACAAAGGCACAAGTATTTTTTAACTGTGTGAGGCTGTGCACTGTGAGCTGAGTTTCTCCTCCGCCTTGTCAGCCTGCAGGAGAATTAGAGCAGCACTGGAATTGCCAAGCCTTCAGCCCTGGCACGAAACTCAGGGCATTCAAAGGAGGTCTCTGTTCTGCATCTTCTCACCCAGCCAGTAAAACGCCCTCCAAGGAATTTTCACACCTACTAACCAAATCTGAGCACACAGTTACCTTAAAGACTCGGGGAATAAACAAACAATAGGAGATTTCCAGAGCTATTACCAAGCAAATAAGTAATTCCAACCTTCTTCTTACCCAAGAAAGGGCAGATGTGTACAGTTGTAAAGTCACTTCGGGGCTGTTTGGGGCAATAGGAAACCAAGAATTCAGTAGTGCTCATAATGACTTCCTGCTCCCATCAGAAACGTCCTGGGTTTCTCAGTAGTGTGAGGATTCTAATGATGGTATGAGCCTCTTTAATGTGGAAACATAACTCGTGGGATAAACTGGATATTATGGAGCAGTAAGGAGGGTGTTGTTTAAAGACAAATTTTGATACATTCTGAAAACTGCTTTTTCTACCAGGAAAGGTTCCTTCCGAAAGATAGAGCATATAACTGCTTAAGAGACTGAATGATTCAAGGAAACTGAAGGAAGGAAAGTCTAGGTGAGATACTAGAAAAAGATTTTTTACTCTAAGGGCGGTGAGACACTGGCACAGGTTGCACAGGGACGTGGTGACTGCCCCAACCCGGGTGGTGTTCAAGGCCAGGCTGGATGAGGCCTTGAGCAACCTGATCTAGTGAGGAGGTGTCCCTGCCCAGGGCAGGGGGTTGGGACTAGATGATCTCTAAGGTCCATTCCAACCCTTAAATTCTATGATTCTATGAAATACGGAAACTGAAGTTCAAATCTGGACAGTTCTGTATGTTCGTGCTTTCTCATTGCAGCATGGGAAGGATCTTGCCAGATTCTTTGGGACCTGAATGTGGGTATCAACTGCTCCTTCTCTTCCAGCCTTCTTGTAGTCTGTGCTAGAATCCCAGTTCCTACCAAGACATTAGCAAGGATATGTCATTTTTGCCTCCAGAATGCTGAGCTCAAAGTGTTTATGTGTGTAGCTTGACACACTAAGTGCTGCTACAGCTAGTGCAGGTTAAGCATACCTGAACGCTGACTGGTCTGGGATGCACATCTCTTTCAGACAGCTGAGAAATAGCCTGAATGTAGGACTGTTTCAGTCAAATGAGGGTGTCTGGCAAAGCTACCAAGAAATCAAGACAGCAGTCTGAAACATTTTGGTCAAATTGTGATCAAATCAATGTAATCAAATTGACTTTGCAACAGATTCAGTTAAAATGGCACCCTCTCTTTTATTTCAATGAGGCTTTTTAGTTGTAGAAGGTGAGAAGGTCTCCCCTGAGCCTCCTCCAGGCTAAACACCCCCAGCTCCCTCAGCCTCTCCTCACGGGCCTTGTGCTTGAGTCCCTTCACCAGCCTCATTGCTCTTCTCTGGACCTGCTCCAACACTTCAATATCCCTCCTGAACTGAGGGGCCCAGAACTGAGCACATTACTCAAGGTGTGGCCTCATGGGCTGATTCCAACAAGATGAGGTTTAAAAAGGCCAAGTGCTGGTCCTGCTCTTTGGCCATACCAGTCCCATGCAGCACTCTAGGCTGGGGACAGAGTGGCTGGAGAGCAGCCAGGCAGAAAGAGACCTGTGAGTTTAGATAGACAGAAAGCTGAACATGAGCCAGCAGTGTGCTCAGGTGGCCAAGAAGGCCAATGGCATCCTGACCTGGATCAGGAACAGTGTGGTCAACAGGACCAGGGAAATGATTCTGTCCCT